GGGAAGATGTTTATCTCTCGAAAAAGGGAATATTTCTTGGAAGAATGTTCTCATTAGTCTCTCCAGAAAACAGAATTGTCTCGTATTATCTCTCGGAAGAATGTTCTTGTAAGATATCTCATTAGTCTCTCCAGAAAACAGAATTGTCTCGTATTATCTCTCGGAAGAATGTTCTTGCAAGATATCTCATTAGCCTCTCCATGAAAACAGAATTGTCTCGTATTATCTCTCGGAAGAATGTTCTTGCAAGATATCTCATTAGTCTCTCCATAGAAAACAGAATTGTCTCGTATTATCTCTCGGATGTTCTTGCAAATTGTCTCTCCGCAGAAAGCAATTGTCTCATGTTATCTATGTTCTTGCAAGCCTCTCCATAGAAAACAGGAACTTGTCTCGTATTATCTCTCGGAAGAATGTTCTTGCAAGATATCTCATTAGTCTCTCCATAGAAAACAGAATTGTCTCGTATTATCTCTCGGAAGAATGTTCTTGCAAAGATATCTCATTAGTCTCTCATAGAAAACAGAATTGTCTCGTAATATCTCTCGGAAGAATGTTCTTGCAAGATATCTCATTAGTCTCTCCATAGAAAAAAATTGTCGTATTGTCTCGGAAGAATATTTCTCTCGGAAGAATGTTCTTGCCTCTATCTCATCTCCATAGAAAACAGAATTGTCTCGTATTATTCTCTCAGAAGAATGTTCTTGCAAGATATCTCATTAGTCTCTCCATAGAAAACAGAATTGTCTCGTATTATCTCTCGGAAGAATGTTCTTGCAAGATATCTCATTAGTCTCTCCATAGAAAACAGAATTGTCTCGTATTATCTCTCGGAAGAATGTTCTTGCAAAGATATCTCATTAGTCTCTCCATAGAAAACAGAATTGTCTCGTATTATCTCTCGGAAGAATGTTCTTTGAAAGATATCTCATTAGTCTCTCCATGAAAACAGGAATTGTCTCGTATTATCTCTCGGAAGAATATTTCTTGCAAAGATATCTCATTAGTCTCTCCATAGAAAACAGAATTGTCTCGTATTATCTCTCGGAAGAATGTTCTTGCAAGATATCTCATTAGTCTCTCCATAGAAAACAGAATTGTCTCGTATTATCTCTCGGAAGATTGTTCTTGCAAGATATCTCATTAGTCTCTCCCAGAAAACAAAATTGTCTCGTATTATCTCTCGGAAGAATGTTCTTGTAAAGATATTCATTAGTCTCTCCATAGAAAACAGGAATTGTCTCGTATTATCTCTCGGAAGATGTTCTTGCAAGATATCTCATTAGTCTCTCCATAGAAAACAGAATTGTCTCGTATTATCTCTCAGGAAGAATGTTCTTGCAAGATATCTCATTAGTCTCTCCATGAAAACAGAATTGTCTCGTATTATCTCTCGGAAGAATGTTCTTGCAAGCTATCTCATTAGTCTCTCCATGAAAACAGAATTGTCTCGTATTATCTCTCAGGAAGAATGTTCTTGCAAGATATCTCATTAGTCTCTCCACTTAAGAAAAGTGTCTCGTATTCTCGTATTATCTCTCGGAAGAATGTTCTTACAAGATATCTCATTAGTCTCTCCATAGAAAACAGAAATTTGTCTCGTATTATCTCTCGGAAGAATGTTCTTGAAACAAGATATCTCGGAAAAAGGGTGTCTCGTATTTCTTATGTTCTTGCAAAGATCTCTCTCTCCAAGAAAACAGAATTGTCTCGTATTATCTCTCGGAAGAATGTTCTTGCAAGATATCTCATTAGTCTCTCCATAGAAAAAGAATTGTCTCGTATTATCTCTTGTCTCGATATCATTATCTCTCCATAAGCAAAGATCTTCTCTCTCGGAAGAATGTTCTTATCTCATTAGTCTCTCCATAGAAAAAATTTGTCTCGTATTATCTCGGAAGAATGTTCTTGCAAGATATCTCATTGTCTCTCCATAGAAAACAGAATTGTCTCGTATTATCTCTCGGAAGAATATTTCTTGCAGATATCTCATTAGTCTCTAGAAAACAGAATTGTCTCGTATTATCTCTCGGAACTATCTCATTAGTCTCTCCATAGAAAGCAGAATTGTCTCGTATATCTCGGAAGAATTGCAAGATATCTCTCTCCATAGAAAACAGAAGAATTGTCTGTATTATCTCTCGGAAGATGTTCTTGCTAGATATCTCATTAGTCTCCATAGAAAACAGGGATTGTCTCGTATTATCTCTCGGAAGAATGTTTCTTACAAGATATCTCATTAGTCTCTCCATAAAAACAGGAATTGTCTCGTATTATCTCTCGGAAGAATGTTCTTTGCAAGATATCTCATTAGTCTCTCCATAGAAAACAGAATTGTCTCGTATTATCTCTCGAAAATAGAAATGTTCTTGCAAGCTATCTCATTAGTCTCTCCATAGAAAACAGAATTGTCTCGTATTATCTCTCGGAAGAATGTTTGCAAGATATCTCATTAGTCTCTCCATAGAAAGCAGAATTTTCTCGTATTATCTCTCGGAAGAATGTTCTTGCAAGATATCTCATTAGTCTCTCCATGAAAACAGAATTGTCTCGTATTATCTCTCGGAAGAATGTTCTTTAAGATATCTCATTAGTCTCTCCATAGAAAACAGGAATTGTCTCGTATTATCTCGGAGAATGGAAGATATCTCATTATTCCAGAAAACAGAGATTATCTCATTAGTCTCTCCAAGAAAAGATATCTCATTGGTCTCCGCAGAAAACAGAATTGTCTCGTGTTATCTCTCGGAAGAATGTTCTTGCAAGATATCTCATTAGTCTCTCCATAGAAAACAGGAATTGTCTCGTATTATCTCTCGGAAGAATGTTCTTGCAAGATATCTCATTAGTCTCCATAGAAAACAGGATTGTCTCGTATTATCTCTCGGAAGAATGTTCTTGCAAGATATCTCATTAGTCTCTCCATAGAAAACAGAATTGTCTCGTATTATCTCTCGGAAGAATGTTCTTTTAAGATATCTCATTGATCTCTCAGAAAACAGAATTTTCTCGTATTATCTCTCGGAAGAATGTTCTTGCAAGATATCATTTGCCTCCATAGAAAACAAAATTGTCTCGTATCTCTCGGAAGAATGTTCTTGTAAGATATCTCATTAGTCTCTCCATAGAAAACAGAATTGTCACGTATTATCTCTCGGAAGAATGTTTCTTGCAAGATATCTCATTAGTCTCTCTATAGAAAACAGGAATTGTCTCGTATTATCTCTCGAAATGAATGTTCTTGCAAAAACTATCTCATTAGCCTCTCCAGGAAGAAAACAGATCATTGTCTCGTATTATCTCTCGGAAGAATATTTCTTTTGCAAAGATATCTCATTAATCTCTCCACCAGAAAACAAAATTGTCTCGTAATATTATCTCTCGGAAGAATATTTCTTGTCTCTCAAGATATCTCATTAGTCTCTCCATAGAAAACAGAATTGTCTCGTATTATCTCTCGGAAGAATGTTCTTTGCAAAGATATCTCATTAGTCTCTCCATAGAAAACAGAATAATGTCAAGTATTATCTCTCCAGGAAGAATGTTTCTTAGTATCTCTGGGAAGAATGTTCTTTTAAACTATCTCATTAGTCTCCATAGAAAACAGAATTGTCTCGTATTATCTCTCGGAAGAATGTTCTTGCAAGATATCTCATTAGCCTCTCCATAGAAAACAGAATTGTCTCGTATTATCTCTCGGAAGAATGTTCTTGCAAGATATCTCATTAGTCTCCATAGAAAACAGGGTGTCTCGTATTATCTCTCGGAAGAATGTTCTTTAAAGATATCTCATTAGTCTCTCCAGGAAAACGAAATTGTCTCGTATTATCTCTCGGAAGAATGTTCTTGCAAAGATATCTCATTGGTCTCTCCATAGAAAACAAGAATTGTCTCGTATTATCTCGGAAGAATGTTCTTGCAAGATATCTCATTAGTCTCTCCATAGAAAACAAAATTGTCTCGTATTATCTCTCGGGAAGAATGTTCTTGCAAGATATCTCATTAGTCTCTCCATAGAAAACAGAATTTGTCTCATATTATCTCTCGGAAGAATGTTCTTGCAAGATATCTCATTAGTCTCTCCAGAATAAAACAGAATTGTCTCGTATTATCTCGGAAGAATGTTCAACGCAAGATATCTTAGTCTCTCCAGAAAACAAATTGTCTCGTATTATCTCTCGGAAGAATGTTCTTGCAAATAGTCTCTCTCATTCGTAATCTCCTCTCCTCAGAAAACAGAATTGTCTCGTATTATCCTCTCGGGATGAATGTTCTTGAAAACAATTGTCTCGTATTATCTCATTAGATATCTCATTAGTCTCCATAGAAAACAGAATTGTCTATTATCTCTCGGAAGAATGTTCTTGCAAAGATATCTCATTAGTCTCTCCATAGAAAACAGAATTGTCTCGTATTATCTCTCGGAAGAATGTTCTTTGCAAGATGTCTCATTAGTCTCTCATAGAAAACAAATTGTCTCGTATTATCTCTCGGAAGAATGTTCTTGCAAGATATCATTAGTCTCCACCAGAAAACAGAATTGTCTCGTATTATCTCTCGGAAGAATGTTCTTGCAAGCTATCTCATTAGTCTCTCCATAGAAAACAAATTGTCTCGTATTATCTCTCGGAAGAATGTTCTTGCAAGATATCTCATTATTCTCTCAGAGAAAACAGAATTGTCTCGTATTATTAATGTCTCATTAGTCTCTCCATGAAAACTATCTCGTATGTCTCTCCAGAATGAAAACAGAATCTCCATAGAAAACTCGTCTCATATTCTCTCCGGAAGAATGTTCTTGCAAGATATCTCATTAGTCTCTCCAGATAAAACCAGAGATTGTCTCGTATCTCTCGAAGAATGTTCTTGCAAGATATCTCATTAGCCTCTCCAGAGAAAACAGAATTGTCTCGTATTATCTCTCGGAAGAATGTTCTTGCAAGATATCTCATTAGTCTCTCCATAGAAAACAGAATTGTCTCGTGTTATCTCTCGGAAGAATGTTCTTGCAAAGATATCTCATTAGTCTCTCCATAGAAAACAGAATTGTCTCGTATTATCTCTCGGAAGAATGTTCTTTGCAAAGATATCTCATTAGTCTCTCCATAGAAAACAGAATTGTCTCGTATCTCTCGGAAGAATGTTCTTGCCAAATATCTCTAGTCTCTCATTAGTCTCCATGAAAACAGAATCTCATTGTCTCGTATTCTCGTATTATCTCGGAAGAATGTTCTTTAAGCTATCTCATTAGTCTCTCCAGATAAAACAGGTGTCTCGTATTATCTCTCGGAAGAATGTTCTTTTAAAGATATCTCATTAGTCTCTCCAGAGAAAACAGAATTGTCTCGTATTATCTCTCGGAAGAATGTTCTTGCAAGATATCTCATTAGTCTCTCCATAGAAAACAGAATTGTCTCGTATTATCTCTCTCAAGAGAATGTTCTTGCTAGGTATCTCATTTCTCTCCATAGAAAACAGATTGTCTCGTATTATCTCTCGGAATAATATTCTTGCAAGATATCTCATTAGTCTCTCCATAGAAAACAAGAATTGTCTCGTATTATCTCTCGGAAGAATGTTTCTTGCAAGATATCTCATTAGTCTCCATAGAAAACAGAATTGTCTCGTATTATCTCTCGGAAGAATGTTCTTGCAAGATATCATTAGTCTCTCCATAGAAAACAGAATTGTCTCGTATTATCTCGGAAGAGAATGTTCGGAAGATTTTTCTTGCAAGATATCAAGATCTCATTAGTCTCTCCAGGGTGTCTCGGAAAACAGATATCTCATTCTCCATAGAAAACAAGATTGTCTCCATATTATCTCTCGGAAGAATGTTCTTTAAGATATCTCATTAGTCTCTCATAGAAACATGTCTCATTAGTCTCTCTCAGCCTCTCTATAGAAAACGATTGTCTCGTATCTCTCTCGGAAGAATGTTCTTGCAAGATATCTCATTAGTCTCCATGAAAACAGAATTGTCTCGTATTATCTCTCGGAAGAATGTTCTTGCAAGCTATCTCATTAGTCTCTCCATAGAAAACAGAATTGTCTCGTATTATCTCTCGGAAGAATGTTCTTTTGAATATCTCATTAGTCTCTCCATAGAAAACAGAATTGTCTCGTATTATCTCTCGGAAGAATGTTCTTTGCAAGATATCTCATTAGTCTCTCCATAGAAAACAGGGTGTCTCGTATTATCTCTCGGAAGAATGTTCTTGCAAGATATCTCATTAGTCTCTCCGCAGAAAACAGAATTGTCTCATGTTATCTCTCGGAAGAATGTTCTTGCAAGCTATCTCATTAGTCTCTCCATGAAAACAGGAATTCTCGTATTATCTCTCGGAAGAATGTTCTTGCAAGATATCTCATTAGTCTCCATAGAAAACGAATTATCTCGTATTATCTCTCGGAAGAATGTTCTTTGTAAGATATCTCATTGGTCTCTCCATGAAAACAGAATTTCTCGTATTATCTCTCGGAAGAATGTTCTTTAAGATATCTCATTAGTCTCTCCACGGAAAATTGTCTCATCTCTCGGAAGAATGTTCTTCTAGGTATCCAGTCTCCATAGAAAACAGAATTCTCTCGGAAGATGCTTCTTTGCAAGATCTCATTAGTCTCTCCATAGAAAACAGAATTGTCTCGTATTATCTCTCGGAAGAATGTTCTTGCAAGATATCTCATTGTCTCTCCATAGAAAACAGAAATTGTCTCGTATTATCTCTCGGAAGAATGTTCTTGCAAGATGTCTCATTAGTCTCTCCATAGAAAACAGAATGTCTCATGTATCTCTCTCGTATATCTCTCTCGGAAAAAATATCTCGGATTATCTCTCAAAGGGATGTTCTTTGCGATATCTCATTAGTCTCTCCATAGAAAACAGAATTGTCCGTATTATCTCTCGGAAGAATGTTCTTGCAAGATATCTCATTAGTCTCTCCAGAGAAAACAGAATTGTCTCGTATTATCTCTCGGAAGAATGTTCTTGGTCTCTCCATAGAAAACAGGGTGTCTCGTATATCTCATTAGATATCTCTCTCCTATAGAAAACAGAATTGTCTCGTGTTATCTCTCGGAAGATGTTCTTGCAAGATATCTCATTAGTCTCTCCAGATAAAACAAGAATTATCTCTCGTTCTTTTAAGATATCTCTCTCCAGGAAGAATATTTCTTGCAAGATATCTCATTAGTCTCTCCATAGAAAACAGAATTGTCTCGTATTATCTCTCTCGGAAGAATGTTCTTGCAAAATATCTCATTAGCCTCCAGAGAAAACAGAATTGTCTCGTATTCTCTCTCGGAAGAATGTTTAACAAAGATATCTCATTAACTCTCCATAGAAAAGCAGAATTGTCTCGTATTATCTCTCGGAAGAATGTTCTTTGCAAGATATCTCATTAGTCTCATATTATCTCTCCGGAAGAAAACAAGATATTGTCTCCATATTCTCTCGGAAAAGAATTTTCTTCAAAGATATCTCATTAGTCTCTCCAGAAAACAGAATTGTCTCGTATTATCTCTCTCGGAAGAATGTTCTTGCAAAGATATCTCATTAGTCTCTCCATAGAAAACAGAATTGTCTCGTATTATCTCTCGGAAGAATGTTCTTTGCAAGATATCTCATTAGTCTCTCCATAGAAAACAGAATTTGTCTCGTATTTATCTCTCTCGGAAGAATATTTCTTCCAAAGATATCTCATTAGGTCTCCATAGAAAACAAGAATTGTCTCGTATTATCTCTCGGAAGAATGTTTTTGCAACATATCTCATTAGTCTCTCCATAGAAAACAGAATTTGTCTCGTATTATCTCTCGGAATAATGTTCTTTGCAAGCTGTCTCATTAGTCTCTCCATAGAAAACAGAATTGTCTCGTATTATCTCTCGGAAGAATGTTCTTGCAAGATATCTCATTAATCTCCATAAAAAAAGGTAAATTGTTTCGTATTATCTCTCGGAAGAATGTTCTTGCAAGCTATCTCATTAGTCTCTCTCAGAAAACAGAATTGTCTCGTATGATCTCTCGGAAGAATATTCTTTACAAGATATCTCATTAATCTCTCCATAGAAAAAACAGAATTGTCGTATTATCTCTCGGAAGATGTTCTTGCTAGGTATCTCATTAGTCTCTCCAAAGAAAACCAAGAATTGTCTCGTATTATCTCTCGGAAGAATGATACGAGATATCATTAGTCTCCATAGAAAACAGAATTGTCTCGTATCTCTCGGAAGAATGTTCTTGCAAGATATCATTAGTCTCCATAGAAAACGAAATTCTCATGTTATCTCTCGGAAGAATGTTCTTTGCAAAGATATCATTAGTCTCTCTTAGAAAACAGAAGAAATTGTCTCGTATTATCTCTCGGAAGAATGTTCTTGCAAGATCTCTCATTAGTCTCTCCATAGAAAACAGAATTGTCTCGTGTTATCTCTCGGAAAGAATGTTCTTTGCAAGATATCTCCATTAGTCTCTCCATAAAACAAATTGTCTCATGTATCTCTGGGAATAATGTTCTTCGATATATTAGTCTCTCAATAGAAAACAGAATTGTCTCGTATTATCTCTCGGAAGAATGTTTAAGATATCTCATTAGTCTCCTCTAGAAAACAGATTGTCTCGTATTATCTCTCCGGAATTGTTCTCAAAGATATCTATTAGCCTCTCTCAGAATTGGTTATCTCTCGGAAATGTTCTTGCAAGATATCTCATTAGTCTCTCCATAGAAAACAGAATTGTCTCGTATTATCTCTCGGAAGAATGTTCTTTGCAAGATATCTCATTAATCTCCATAGAAAACAGAATTGTCTCGTGTTATCTCTCGGAAGAATGTTCTTGCAAGATATCTCATTAGTCTCTCCATCAAAACAGAATTGACTCGTATTATCTCTCGGAAGAATGTTCTTGCAAAGCTATCTCATTAGTCTCTCCATAGAAAACAGAATTGTCTCGTATTATCTCTCTCGGAAGAATGTCTCTTGAAAACAATTGTCTCGTATTATCTCTCGAGTATTTTCTCTCATTATCTCCTCTCCAGAAAAAGAATTGTCTCATAATATCTCTCGGAAGAATGTTCTTTTAAAGATATCTCATTAGTCTCTCCATAGTAAACAGAATTGTCGTATTATCTCTCGGAAGAATGTTCTTGCAAGATATGCCTCTCCATAAAAAACAGAAATTGTCTCGTATTATCTCTCCGAAAAAAAATGTTCTCTCGGAAGAAGATATCTCATTAGTCTCTCTCTCGTATTATCTCTCGGAAGAATCTCATTAGCCTCTCCAGAAAACAATTGTCTCGTATTATCTCTTGGAAAGATGTTCTTTGCAAGATATCTCATTCTCTCCATAGAAAACAGAATTATCTCGTATTATCTCTCGAATGTTCTTGCAAGCTATCTCATTATTCTCTCCATAGAAAACAGAATTTGTCTCGTATTATCTCTCGGAAGAATGTTAGCCTTAGAAAACTTGCCTTCCATCTCTCCAAGATATCTCATTAGTCTCCATAGAAAACAGAATTGTCTCGTAATATATCTCTCGGAAGAATGTTTCTTGCAAGCTATCTCGTTAGTCTCTCTCCATAGAAAACAGAATTGTCTCGTAGTCTCTCGGAAGATGTTCTTGCAAAGATATCTCATTAGTCTCTCCATAGAAAACAGAATTGTCTCGTATTATCTCGGAAGGTGTTCTTGCAAGAATGTTCTCCATGAAAACAAGATTGTCTCATTATCTCTAGTTCTCAAGATATCTCGAAAACAGAATTGTCTCGTATTATCTCTCGGAAGAATGTTCTTGCAAAGATATCTCATTAATGCGTATTATCTCTCCATAGAAAACAGATATCTCATTGTCTCGTATTATCTCTCGGAAGAATGTTCTTGCAAGAATGTCTCATTAGTCTCTCCATAGAAAAGGAATTGTCTCGTATTATCTCTCGGAAGAATGTTCTTGCAAGATATCTCATTAGTCTCTCCATAGAAAACAGAATTGTCTCGTATTATCTCTGGGGAAGAATGTTCTTGCAAGATATCTCATTAGTCTCTCCATAGAAAACAGAATTGTCTCGTATTATCTCTGGGAAGAATGTTCTTGCAAGATATCTATTAGTCTCTCCATAGAAAACAGAATTGTCTCGTATTATCTCTGGGAAGAATGTTCTTGCAAGATATCTCATTAGTCTCTCCATAGAAACAGAATTGTCTCGTATTATCTCTCGGAAGAATGTTCTTTTAAGATATCTCATTAGTCTCTCCAGAAAAACAAGGGTGTCTCGTATTATCTCTGGGAAGAATGTTCTTGCAAAGATATCTCATTAGTCTCTCCAGATAAAAAGAATTGTCTCGTATTATCTCTCGGAAGAATGTTCTTGCAAGATCTCATTAGTCTCTCCAGAAAACAGAATTGTCTCATATTATCTCTCGGAAGAATGTTCTTGCAAGATATCTCATTAGTCTCTCTCCAGAAAACAGAATTGTCTCTCGTATTATCTCTCGGAAGAATGTTCTTGCAAAGATATCTCATTAGTCTCTCCATAGAAAACATTGGTGAATTGTTCCTGTATTATTCTCGGAAGAATGTTCTTTGCAAGATATCTCATTATTCTCTCCATAGAAAACAGAATTGTCTCTGGGAATAATGTTCTTGCAAGATATCATTAGCCTCTCCAGAAAACAGGGTGTCTCATTATCTCTCAGGAAGAATGTTCTTTAAGATATCTCATTAATCTCTCCAGATAAAACAGAATTGTTCGTATTATCTCTGGGAATAATGTTCTTGCAAGATATCATTAGTCTCTCCATGAAAACAGAATTGTCTCGTATTATCTCACGGAAGAATGTTCTTGCAAAGATGTCTCATTAGTCTCTCCAGATAAAACAGAATTGTCTCGTATTATCTCTGGGAATAATGTTCTCCATGAAAACAAGATATCTCATTATCTCTCAGGAAGAATGTTCTCTCCATAGAAAACAAGAATTTGTCTCGTATTTATCTCTCGGAAGAATCTTCTTTGAAAGATATCTCATTAGTCTCTCCATGGAAAAGCAAGAATTGTCTCGTATGACCTCTCGGAAGAATGTTCTTGCAAAGATATCTCATTAGCCTCTCCATAGAAAACAGAATTGTCTCATGTGTCTCTCGGAAGAATGTTCTTGCTAGATGTCTCATTGAATCTCTCCATAGAAAACAGAATTGTCTCTATTATCTCTCGGAAGAATGTTCTTGCAAAGATATCTATTTAGTCTCTCCATAAACAGAATTGTCTCGTATTATCTCTCGGAGAATGTTCTTTTAAGATATCTCATTAGTCTCTCTCCATAGAAAGCAAGAATTGTCTCGTATTATCTCTCGGAAGAATGTTCTTTAACATATCTCATTAGTCTCCATAGAAAACAGAATTGTCTCGTATTATCTCTCGGAAGAATGTTTCTTTACCAAAATATCTCATTAGTCTCTCCATAGAAAACAGAATTGTCTCGTATTCTCTCTGAAGAATGTTCTTGCAAGATATCTCATTAGTCTCCATAGAAAAACAGAATTGTCTCGTGTTATCCTCTCAGAAGAATGTTCTTGCAAGATGTCTCATTAGTCTCTCCATTAAAACAGAATCGTCTCCATGGTCTTGTCTCGATATTATCTCTCCGGAAAAAGAATGTCTTTAACGTAACTTGCTAGGTATCTCATTAGTCTCTCCATAGAAAACAATTGTCTCATATTATCTCTCGGAAGAATGTTCTTGCAAGATATCTCATTAGCCTCTCTATAGAAAACAGAATTGTCTCATTGTTATGTTCTTGCAAGGAATATAATTTAGTCTCTCCATGAAAACAGAATTGTATCATTCCTCTGGAAGAATGTTCTTGCAGATGTCATTAGTCTCTCCATAGAAAACAGAATTGTCTCGTATTATCTCTCCGGAGAATGTTCTTTAAGCTATCTCATTAATTCTCTCCATGAAAACAAAGTGTTTCTTGCAAGATATCTCATTAGTCTCTCCGCCTTAGAAAACAGGGTGTCTCTGTTATCTCTCGGAGAATGTTCTTGCCAAGATATCTCATTGTCTCTCCAGATAAAACAGGGTGTCTCGTATCTCTCGGAAGAATGTTCTTGTAAAAATCCTGTTAATTCTCCAGAAAACATAATGTCTTCGTATTATCACTCGGAATATCTCCAGATATCTCATTAGCCTCTATAGAAAAACAAATTGTCTCGTATTATCCTCTCGGAAGAATGTTCTTTGCAAAGATATCTCATTAGTCTCTCCAGATAAAACCGGATTGTCTCGTATTATCTCTCTGGGAATAATGTTCTTGCAAGATATCTCGTATTATCTCTCCGAAGAATGTTCAGGATATTGTCGCAAAATTATCTTATCTCTCGGAAGAATGTTCTTGCAAGATATCTCATTAGCCTCCGAGAAAACAGAATTGTCGTATTATCTCTCCGGAAGAATGTTCTTGTCTCAAGATACTCTCCAGATAAAAGCAGAATTGTCTCTCTGGGGTGTGTTCTTTAAAGATAATTAGTCTCTAAATTGTATCTCGTATTATCTCTCGGAAGAATGTTCTTGCAAGATATCTCATTAGTCTCTCCATAGAAAATAGAATTGTCTCGTATTATCTCTCGGAATAATGTTCTTGCAAGATATCTCATTAATCTCTCCGCAGAAAACAGAATTGTCTCGTATTCTCTCTCGGAAGAATGTTCTTGCAAGATATCTCATTAGTCTCTCCAGATAAAAAAACATTATCTCATATTATCTAGGAATAATGTTCTTGCAAAGATATCTCATTAAAGATCTCTCCATGAAAACAGAATTGTCTCGTATTATCTCTCCGGAAGAATATTTCTTGCAAGATATCTCATTGGTCTCTCCATAGAAAACAGGGTGTCTCTATTATCTCTCTCGGAAGAATGTTCTTTGCAAGATATCTCATTAGTCTCTACAGAGAAATGAGAAATTGTCTCGTATTATCTCTCGGAAGAATGTTCTTGCAACTATCTCGTAGTCTCTCCACCCAAAGAAAACAAGAATTGTCTCGTATTATCTCTCGAAGAATGTTCTTGCAAAGCTATCTCATTAGTCTCTCCATATTGTCTCGTATTAAATGTTCAGAAGCTATCTATTAGTCTCCATAGAAAACAGAATTGTCTCTCTCGGAAGAATGTTCTTGCAAGCTATCTCATTGGTCTCTCCATAGAAAACAGAAAATTTGTCTCCTATGCAAAGATACCTCTCTCCATAGGAGAATTAACTTATTATCTCTCAAGAATGTTCTTGCCAGGTATCTCATTAGTCTCTCCATAGAAAACAGAAGATTGTCTCGTATTATCTCTCGGAAGAATGTTCTTGCAAAGGTATCTCATTAAGTCTCTCCATGAAAACAATTGTCTCGTATTATCTCCCGGAAGATGTTCTTGCAAGATATCTCATTAGTCTCTCAGAATTGTCTGGTCTCTCCATAAGATATCTCATTAGTCTCGTATTATCTCTCGGAAGAATGTTCTTGCAAGATATCTCATTTAATCTCTCCATAGAAAACAGAATTGTCTCATGTTATCTCTCGGAAGAATGTTCTTGCAAGATATCCTCATTGGAATCTCTCCATAGAAAACAGAATTGTCTCGTATTATCTCTCGGAAGAATGTTCTTGCAAAATATCTCATTAGTCTCTCCATAGAAAACAGGAATTGTCTCGTATTATCTCTCGGAAGAATGTTCTTGTAAAGATATGTCATTAGTCTCCATCTCCATATCTCGGAAAACAGATATCTTTAGCCTCTCGTATTATCTCTCGGAAGAATGTTCTTGCAAGATATCTCATTAGTCTCCATAGAAAACAGAATTGTCTCGTATTATCTCTCGGAAGAATCTTCTTGTAGCTATCTCATTAGTCTTGAAAACAGGGTATCTCGTATTATCTCTCGGAAGATATTCTTGCAAGATATCTCATTAGTCTCTCCATAGAAAACAGAATTGTCTCGTATTATCTCTCGGAAGAATTTCTTTTAAGATATCTCATTAGTCTCTCCAACAGGAAAAGTATTATCTCTCGGAAGAATATTTCGCAACATAGTATCTCCATAGAAAACGGAATTGTCTGTTCTCGGAAGAATGTTCTATTCTCTCAGAAAACAAAAAAGAATTCTCGTATTATCTCTCGGAAGAATGTTCTTTAAGCTATCTCTTCCTCTCCATAAAAACAGAATTGTCTCGTATTATCTCTCGGGAAGAATGTTCTTGCAAGATATCTCATTAGTCTCAGATAAAAAAACAGGAATTGTATCTCATTAGATATCTCATTGGAAGAGATGTTCTCTCCATTAGTCTCTCCAAAAACAGAATTGTCTGTATTATCTCTCGGAAGAATATTAGGAGGCAAGATCTCATTAGTCTCTCCAGATAAAACAGAATTGTCTCGTATTATCTCTCGGAAGAATGTTCTTGCAAGATATCTCATTAGTCTCTCCATGAAAACGAAGAATGTCTCGTATTATCTCTCGGAAGAATCATTCGGAAGATGTTCTTGCAAGATATCTTATTAGTCTCTCCATAGAAAACAGAATTGTCTCGTATTATCTCTCGGAGAATGTTAACGCGAGGGTATCTCATTAGTCTCTCCAAGAAAACAGAATTTGTCTCGTATTATCTCTCGGAAGAATGTTCTTGCAAGATATCTCATTGAATCTCTCCATAGAAAACAAATTGTCATATTATCTCTCGGAAGAATGTTCTTGTAAAAATATCTCATTAGTCTCTCCATATAAAACAGAATTATCCTCGGAAGAATGTTCTCGTATTATTCTCTCGAATAATTTTCTGCAAGAATATCTCATATAATCTCTCCAGAGAAAACAAGAATTGTCTCGTATTATCTCTCGGAAAGAATCTCATTAGTTCTCCAGAAAACAGAATTGTCTCGATCTCGGAAGAATCAAGATATCATTAGTCTCTCCAGATAAAACAGGAATTGTCTCGTATTATCTCTCTGGGAAGAATGTTCTTACCAAGATATCTCATTAATCTCCAGAGAAAACAGAATTGTCTCGTATTTTCTCTCGGAAGAATGTTCTTGCAAGATATATTAGTCTCTCCATAAAAAAGAAATTGTCTCTCGTATTATCTCTCGGAAGAATGTTCTTGCAAGATATCATTAGTCTCTCCAGAGAAAACAGAAATTGTCTCGTATTATCTCTCGGAGAATCTTCTTTGCAAGATATCTCATTTCTCTCCATAGAAACAGTAAGCTATCTCATTGCAATTCTCCTTAGAAAACAGAATTGTCTCGTATTATCTCTCGGAAGAATGTTCTTGCAAGATATCTCATTAGTCTCTCCAGAAAACAGGGTGTCTCGTATTATCTCTCGGAGAATGTTCTTGAAAGCTATCTCATTAGTCTCTCCATAGAAAACAATTGTCTCGTATTATCTCTCAGAAGAATGCCTCTCAAGGAAAACAGGGTGTCGTATTCTCTCGGAAGAAGATATCATTAGTCTCTCCATAGAAAACAGAATTTGTCTCGTATTATCTCTCGGAAGGAATGTTCTTGCAAGCTATCTCATTAGTCTCTCCCTTAGAAAACAGAATTGTCTCGTATTATCTCGGAAGAATATTCTTACCAAGATATCTCATTATCT